TGGATTCTATTCGTTCTCGGATTTGCTTCGTTTGACGAAAACGTTGTTGAGAGTTTTGGACACGTCTTCGCATCGCATCGGAAAACGTGGGAACGATGGAAAGCCTGCAGGTATGTCTACAGTTTACTTCTTTGTGAAAATTTTCTCAAGTACCAGAAAAGATAAATCGAAAAAAATTCGTATCTGATGGTATTTTAATTTTTTACTCCAGCATAAATTCTGATTTTGATTTTCTTTCGGGTCGCAATGGCTTTGTTATAATGAGATTTCACTATTATTTCTTTTAGATGCGAAAGGAGGGGTTGCCAAAAGCATTGAGGAAATGGGAGCCTTGATCAGCACTGTGGCTCTTGGGGCGTCTGGAGCTGAAGAAACAGGACGAGGCTATTTGAGGTCTGGAGGAAGATCGAGGCCTGGTGAGTTGAGCATCAGTGTTGGGACCTGTGCTCCGACGACTGCGGGAGCGACTTGTGGCAGTTGCATCACTTGTGACAACCTCACTGGCAACAGTCCGTCGAAAAACGATATTCTCATCATGGAGACCAAAGTCAAGATTATTGAGATTCTTGAAGTGAGTTTTTCATGTGCTTCATCGGGAGATTTTATTTATCATGTGTAAGTTTTCCTTCGACAGTGGTGCCTCGGTTAATGGACTGAATTCATTCCGAGAGAAGCTTTTTGTACACTTTGAAGCTATAAAAATGACTAATTTTTTTTATACTCCGCTAGCCTGACAAACGTGGAGCTTCGTGAAATAGTACAGTACATTACAAATTCTTTGAAATTCTCTCGTGAATTCATGAGTGAATTGTTGAATAAATAAATAAATATGTATTAGATCTAATTTCTATATACTTCGATGTATCTGCTGTACTGTGTATCGATCTAGCCAGTCACTAAAGCTTCCCTCTTTGAAGATGAGGTTGGCGTCCAGGTTCCCTTGTAAAATTTCAAAATTTTTAATGACCACTTATTGAACAGTCCATTATACGAGGCACGTGTGGCATACTTTTATCAATGGATCGTTCATTCATTTATTTCCATGGTTGGCTTCAATTCAAGTCTAGTTGGAAATCGAAACTCATACCTTTTTTTCATGAAAAATTATGCTCACCGCGTGTCACTGACCAAACGTAAAGCTTGTTGAAAATCCCTGGTTTAACTGAATCTAAACTAACTTGTCAGATTCGAAGGGATTCTTGCCGAAATGTAACTTCAGGACCTAGAAAGCAATTAAGGGATACCAGTGAAATGACAAAGAGATGTTGAGAGCTCAAGGAGTATAAACCTGATTTTTCTGCATGATAATACTGTATTGAAAAATTGTGTAATCCTCTTGGGGAAATCCATCACATGATCTCTAAAAAAAATCTTCCTCGTTTTTTTTCAGTTCATTTTGAACGAGAGGCTAGATTACAGGATCAGCAGTCTTCTGTCGATATTCAAGCGAGAATTTTCGGAAAGTGAGCGAGAAAAGGAACGTCAGAATGACGGCGATGCTCTTCGGGAAACCGGGAAAGACTCATTATCGAAAACTGGCGACTTGAATGATGATCCCATTTCTCATTCTTCTGGAGACAAAGGGATCGACCTGGAGATCATCGGCGCACAAGCAGAAGGAATTTTTGGAGAAAAGTGAGTGAATCGTGTTTTATGTATCAATCGTGGAATTATATTTTTAATACTGTACCTTTTTTCTGGAAGAAGGGCCGCGAGGCACCCAAGTAAATACGCTGAGTCATTTTGTATTTTCTATTTGCAGCAAAGAAAGTGCAGAATTGGATCTTGATGGTGACGGAGGGCGAATGTTGCTTCGAGTCCTATTCCAGCTAATCATGCACGATTATCCGCCACTCGTCACCGGCGCCCTACAACTGCTCTTCCGCCACTTCAGCCAACGTCACGAAGTTCTCCAAGCGTTTCGCCAAGTACAGCTGCTAGTCTCGGACGCAGACGTTGAGTCCTACAAGCAAATCAAAGCTGACCTCGATGAACTGCGTTTGCTGGTTGAAAAGTCGGAATTGTGGGTGTACAAAGCGAAGGCTGGGGACGAACGCAGTGGAGCGAGTGGTGATGCTGGTGACGACAATGCCGACGGTGACGGAGATGGGCCAGGGAAAAAGAGCAAAGGGGAATTGGGTTCGGCCAGGAAGCGAACTGCGACGAGGCAACAACCACTGGTCTTGTCAAAACTGGTGAGCATTTCGAGGATTTTGCAAGCGTGACTTGGCTAATGGACTTGATCCGCCTTTTGGAAGAAGTTCATTGACAAAGTATTGTGAAGATCTGTTGTTTGGCGGTTCTAAACGCACAAAAAGTATCGTGGATCAAACAAATTTATTACAAAATTTTCTCATCCATTGTAGATTCCCTCGGAATTATCTTGATGAATTCTTGAAAAAATTACCGGAGAAATTTGTGGTCAACATATTGTACTTGTTTTGTATCGAAAACGCAAAAGAAAATACTATACTCAGGAATGAGGGGAATCTTAAACTTTCTTTGCACAGTTTATTAACTTAGAAATAAGCGTTTTTGGAATCCCAAACACGTGGGGTTATTTTATGTTCGCATTACCAAATTTTCACGTGTCGTGTATCGTATCTTTTTTTTTCTTTTCAGGACGGAGATTTATCCTCGAAGTCAAAGAAAAGCTTCTCTTCGAGAGCCCCACTGTTGAGTCCTTCAGATAGGCAAGGCTCAGCGATTGACTTGGATTTAGGTCCACCAATTGACATCACTCAATCTCGTAATTACAAGACTATCCAACAGGTAATTAGTACTGTATTGATGTACTGTATTCCGTTTACAGGGTGGTCCTGGAAATGATCAAAATTTCAAACCTCATACAGTTAAGCCCCGTTAAAGGATGACCTCAAACGCACATGATTGTTGAATTTAAAGATTTTAGCGTTTTTTTTCATTTTTCCTATATTTTTAGTAACAAAAAACCGAAATCTGCTCAAGAACTCAGTCAGTTTTCTTTACTCTAGAAAATGAGATCAGGATTATTCCGCTCATGCAAAAGGATCAAAGTTAAGCCTAGTATTATTTATTTTTAATTTTGTTGGTGTATGACATATTTGAGCGAAAAAACTAGTTTTTCCTAGCTCTTAAACTCTAGTTTGATTTTTTGTGGGTCCCTCCTCTGAGGTTGACTTTAAGAGGTATGGTTGTAACTTTAAAACATATGAAAAATCCACATCGATGTGCTTGAAATGGAGTTGTTTGAACACTGATCCTGATTCTCCCTCCAGACTGAAGAACAAATTTCACGTTTTCTCATTGATCTTTTAGATTTTGATCAGGATGCACAAAATGTGTACTCAAGAAATGGACACGGGAATGGGTTCCCCTATGAAAACTTGCAAGTCAAGTTTGTACAGAAGCCCTGTCAGGTCATAGCGGAGGTTAAGGAGAGTAAAGTTTCGGGCTGCTGTGCTTGTTGCAAACGACGCCTTGTACCCGCAAGTACGACAACATGACCTGAACATAAGGATACCCTATGACAAGAAGGAAGATGTTAGGATGAAAGAGCTGATGAGACTGGCGCATCAGTTTTTGCAAGGATTCTGCCTGTCCAATCCGCAAAATCAGGCTCTGTTGCATAAGCATGTGGACTTGTTTCTCACTCCTGGGGTTTGTGAAACTCTTATTTTCCGCCTGAATTCAGTCAAGGGATATCGAGGCGATAACGAATATTAAAAAAAAAATGTTTTTTTGCAGCTTCTTGAAGCGCAGACAATGTGCGTGATTTTTAGAGACAACGTCAACTTGTGTTCTGAAGTGAGCGAAAGAGTTATTCAGCATTTCGTGCACTGCATTGAAACGCATGGGAGACATATTCAGTACCTGAAATTTTTGCAAACGATCGTACAAGCGAATGGACAATTCATACGCCGTTGTCAGGACCTGGCCATGCAAGAAGTCAGTCGACATTTGCTTTAAAAAACGGGAAATGATGATGGTTGTTGATCAATTTCAGATGATCAATGCTGGTGAAGATGTCCTGGTATTCTACAATGACAAGTCTTCATTCAATCAGTTTTTGGAGTTGATGCGTTCTGAGAGACATCGATTAGACGAAAGCAGTCCATTACAGTATCACATTGAGCTGGTTAAGCTTCTAGCTTTATGCACAGGCGGGAAAAACGTGTTCACAGAGATCAAGTGTCATTCGCTGCTTCCATTGGATGACATTGTGAATATGGTGGCTAACAAGGATTGTATTCCTGAGGTTCGTTCATGGAGGGATATATTGAGTTCTTTTTGTTGGGATGCCTGAAAAGTTGCATTAGATCACTTTTCCAAAGTTGTCCACTGCAGGGACGAATTTTTTTCTGCCATTATAAGATGTCACTAATTTTCAGATTTGCGAACTTCTGCCCCCTTCGGATTCCTCGTGGGTAACATTTGAAATTTGACCAAACAAAGAGTTTAAATTTTCAAACATAAGGATCAAGGATTTTGTTGTCATATTTCGATGGGAAATTTGAGAGATTTTCCCGGATTAGCATTTCATTCCACGAAGGTTTTTGTGTTCCGAACCTTGAAACAAGATCGAAAAACTCATTTTCGTTGCTCGAGAACTTTTTGAACTTCCCGTATTTATTTTTTGCAAATTTATTTGACAAGTTAGTTTTTGGTGCCTATTCTTGAGAGCGTTTTCAATCATCTTTAGCCTCCGACTATTTTTTATGTGATACCATTTGTTAAGGAAATGGATTAAGGTTAGTAACTGAATTTTTTTTGCAGGTGAAGGAAGCGTACATTAATTTCTTGAATCATTGCTACATCGACACGGAGGTGGAAATGAAGGAGATTTACGCTTCTAATCAAATTTGGGCGTTGTTCGAGGATAGCTTTTTAGTTGATATGGCTGTGGTTGCAAATGCGACTTTGGATAGAAAACACGCCAACACGCAACTGGAAGACTACGTTACCAACTCCATCATGAAAATCGTGGCGACCTTCTTCAATAGTCCGTTTTCAGATCAGAGTACAGCAACTCAACAGGTTATGCGACTTTGGATAGAAAACACGCCAACACGCAACTGGAAGACTACGTTACCAACTCCATCATGAAAATCGTGGCGACCTTCTTCAATAGTCCGTTTTCAGATCAGAGTACAGCAACTCAACAGGTTAGTTATTTTCTTTTTTTTTCGATTCTGAATTTCTGGAGGATTTTGGTTAACGAGAAATTACGGTAACTCTTCCAACAATTCGTGTGAAAGTTTCCCTCTCTCATTAGTTGAAGTTGCTCGTTGGGTTCAACTTTTATTTTGGTTCAGTAAGTAAAAGTTAAACTTGAAGATTACTTTCTTAGCTGAACGTCTTCAGGTCAAATCCACTCGTATCCCACCATTGTGGTTATTTTTATTTTACTCAACTATTTACTTCAAAGTTGAATTATTGGGTGTCTTCGTATAATTTTGAGGAACATTTTTGAAATAGAGAAATATTCCCCTCTTCTTAGAGAGAAAAAAATATACAATTGCGATGTGACGTTATTTATGTATCACTAATGCGACTTTGGATAGAAAACACGCCAACACGCAACTGGAAGACTACGTTACCAACTCCATCATGAAAATCGTGGCGACCTTCTTCAATAGTCCGTTTTCAGATCAGAGTACAGCAACTCAACAGGTTTGTTGTTATTTTTTTTTCGATTCTGAATTTCTGGAGGTTTTTTGGTTGACGAGAAATTACGGTAACTCTTCCAACAATTCGTGTGAAAGTTTCCCTCTCTCATTATTTGAAATTGCTCGTTGGGTTGAACTTTTATTTTGGTTCAGTAAGTAAAAATAAAACTTGAAGATTAATTTCTTAGCTGAACGTCTTCAGGTCAAATCCACTCGTATCCCACCATTGTGGTTATTTTTATTTTACTCAACTATTAACTGTATAAGTTTCAACTTAATAACCCACAGAAGCATATTAAAACTCCTTGTAAAAACTTTATCTCTTTATAAGGGGAGAAGAATCTCTCTTTTTTTATATGTTAACGCTACACTGCAATAAATACATAGTGATTAGTATACAGCGGCACCATAACATCCAGAGGCAATTTTCGAATATTTGTGTACATGACTCGTGAAACTTTTGAAAAGCTCTTCCTACATTTCTTTGACAGGCGTTTTTTAAAAATGACTTATCTTTCCAGACTCGGCAGCACGTTTTCGTGAAGTTGTTACAGTCTGCCTTCCGGCTTTCCCAGTGTGATTGGCTCACGCCTGCCCAGCGGTTCCCCATAGAAAATTGCATAAAAATCCTCGCTGACATTGGCAAAAGTCGAACGATTGCAATTCCAGTAGACCTGGACACCCAGGTTCAGGCCATGTTCAACAAAACTGCGCTTCTGACCCGACATTCGAACAAGTGGTTGTCAGCTGCGAGACTGCCGAGAATTCCGTCTCCCCCTGTTTCTGTGCCGGTGTCGCAAGGATTCCTCTTGTCGTCGCACAGACACATCATGCGAAAGGACATGAGTGTGATTGAAGGATTGCATGATATAGTTTCATTGCTTGAAGATCAGCTGAAACCGTTGGTACAGGCGGAATCGAGTGTGTTGGTGGATATTCTGCACTGGCCGGATTTGCTGTTTCCGAGTGCTTTGAAAAATTGGCAGTACAGCTGTGGGTTCGTTGCCAAGTGAGTTGAGGCGGTTCTATTTTCTTTTCTTTTTTTTTATTCCGCTGGAATGATTATTATTTGTCGCTTTTTTCGAATTGAATCACGGAAATATTCTCGAGTTGAATGTAAGGATTTTCTCTTCAGACTCATCAAACATACGAAAAGGCTGCTTGAAGAAAAGGAGGAAAAACTCTGCATGACTGTTTTGAAGACTTTGAAGGACATGATGACGTTCGACTCAGATTTTGGGGAGAAGGTGAGTGACGAACTTTTCCCAAAATCTGCAGTTGCAGATGGACTCTTCCTGAAACAATTTTGTCGTACAAAATTTTTTCCTTTTTTGTTTTTATTTCAAGAGGTTCTCTTCTACGAAATTCTTTCTGCGACGAATTTTTTCTTGTCCCCTGAATTTCGTTCTGAAAAAAATTAATCCTTGGAAAATGCGCAGAATATTATCTGTGAGTAGAATAACTTTCTTGATCAGCCGAGAGATATTTTTCTCTCAGCTTGCGCGTTCCAAAAAATTGGACAGATAATTTAAATTGTTATCTGGAAATGACGACAGGGTGAAGCCTTGAGGCGGAGTTTGCTGAATCGGTATTTGGGCCAAGGCGTGAAAATGCGTGCTAGTATCGAGAAAAGCAGCGACTCACCCAAGAAAACCCTAACGGTTCAAGTTCCTGGCCTGGAGCTGAGCGAAAATCCTCTGGAAAACTCGCTTTATCAATTCCCTTCCCCGCGAATCAAGGGTTCTATTGCCGAAAGAGCAGGGCGTACTTTATGCGAAATTCAATGCAAACTAGACTCCGAAGGGGCGTCGGAATTGGTAGTGGACCTCGTGATTCAGTCGTGCGGGAACCCAGACATTTTTAAGCAGGCTGTCGAGTTGGGGATCGCTTTATTGGAAGGCGGGAACCCTGTGATTCAGGATTCTCTGCATCGGAAGCTGTGTGAGGAGAGAAATGGCGGAGTGGCCCACGATTTTTTCAAGGTACTTCTTTAGAAAATGAGATCCTAAAAATGATATTTGATAACCCTTGATAGCTATGATTCGAGGCATGACCAAGTAGTAGTTACTGGTTTACAAGTTTCGCCAGGACGTCGGGAAGAATTTATCTTGGGTACTGCAGTTCTTGATTAAAAAATTTCTAAACAACTAGTGGGATCAATCAAGAGGCTGGAAAACCGTCATTGTGCGATTGCTGAGGATTTTTCCGGATTGCAGCCGTAATTTGGGAATTTCATATTCACTAATTACCATTTCAAGTAGAGCTTTTTAGAAATTCGCAGGGTTTCTCTAAAAGAAAGACAAGTGAAGTAATGATCGGATAATAGGTTTTGTCATTGTCATTTTTTCGCTGGAGTATTGCGTTGTATGCTACGATTCTTTGTTACTGTAAATTTGAAATCTCGACGATGAACAGAAACTGAGGTTTAAGACAAGACTCAATCACTTTTTGAAAAAAATAGAAAAATAAAATTAAAATACAGATACTGTATTAATCATGTATTTAATTTGACTCAGATATTCCACGACAAGATGAAAGAAGCTCAAAACACTATAAAGAACGCCGTGAGCGTGAATGCAGCGGACATGGCAAGTAGGGCCATGACTAACCATGCTTCTGGGTCGAATACCCCGATCCCGGGTTTGGATGCCCCGGGTTCCCCGTTCTTTGGACGTCGATCTTCGTCGCATTACCACACGCCACATTTGTTGAATGCTGGGTTGCCGCATTCTGCCAGTGGACCCAACTTGATGCTGCCGCCGTCTCCGTCCACGGGGAGCTTCATAGGGAACGGGGCTCATCCGGGTGCGACGAATCTGCAATTGCCCTCTTGCCTATGGCTGTCCTAAAACGCCTTTGGGTCTACATTCATGACATGTCATGTAGCAACTTTGTCAGCCTTAAGAAGCGACAAAAATTATTCTAACTTTTACCCTAAGTAGATAAAAGAGGGTAAAATACGACGCTATCAAAAAATAAACCCTGCTAAAAATGAACGCTTTTCGATTAACGTTGGATGATGTTCCATCAGAATTGGAACTTTAATATGCAGTACGATATGAGTCACTTGTGCAAGTATTTTTTGCGAAAAATCGAAGTAAAAGTTTAAGAACTCAGCAAGAAATTAGCTTCGTAACTGTCGTAGTTTTGAAAATGGGCAGTTTATAATTCAGGCTTACGGCAAATGCCCTGAAATTGACGCTAGTCAGTTTGCCGGTGCAGAAAATGACTCCTAATTTACTGTGAAACGTGTGAGACAACTTTTTATTTCAGCAGAAATACGCAGGTTTGAGATGCGAATATTTTTTTACTTCTTCCGGTTTGTAGTGCAAAAAGATTTTGTGTTTGAAAACGGCCGTTTCTATATTCATATCTTCTCGTTATTCAAGCGTTGATGCGTTCTTCTTTTCTAAAACTGTAGGTCGAGTTTTTGTGAACGAATTTTCATTTCTCATAGGATTCCTGCAGCGCAATTTCTTTGTTCGGTCGTATTCACAATTTTAAGGGAAAAAATTTGTTATAATGAAAAAAAATTTGGGAAATTTTCAGCTGGCAGCTTGAAAACCAATGGACTGATAATGAATGACGAGCTGAGGGAAGATTTGAACGCTGCTGCATTGGCCACATCGCATGCCTACATGACTGTCAGGAGTGGACCGCCAAGTGAGTACCTCAAATATTTTGTATTCCTCACTTTTTTTAAGCTTGATTGTATGGGCTTGTCTTACGCGGTTTCTTACACGATGTAACGTTTTTGGGCAGAAGTACTGTATGCATTTTCAGCACGGTATTCCAAAGAAGTTAAGTTTTAAAATTTTACGAGAAACATGCGTAGACTCAACTGATTCTTCTGATCCAACTGCGTTTAACATGAAAAGATAATCGTGTTTTCATTTTTGAATCCTCTGAAGAATAACGGCGCACAAACTTATACAGTATTGTGTTTTGATTTTGGGTGGTTTCATTGATTATGCACCGACTTTGACACATTTATTTGCTCTCATATTCCAAAAGTTCAAGCAAATGCGAGGTATTTTAATAAATGAGGTGTGACGTTCTCGAATACTCAGGAGATGATGCAGTGCTGGTTGGCTACCCAGCGAGCTCAGCGCTGGAAGACCTGATTGCCGAGAAACAGGAAATGGACCTGCGTTCCAAGGCAGTTTCCGGACCCTTTGTTTCCGGTGTGGTGTTTCCGGGGACTCGTCGACCCGAAGAGAATACCGAGCTGAGTCAGAAGGTGGTCATCATGCAGCCGATTCTCCGATTCTTGCAGCTGTTGTGCGAAAACCACAACCGGGTCATGCAAACATTTTTGCGACATCAGAGCAACAAGACTAATTACAACCTTGTCAGCGAGTCGCTCATGTTTTTGGATTGCATTTGTGGCTCTACGACTGGTGGACTCGGATTGCTAGGATTGTATATCAACGAGAGTAATTTCTCTTTGGTCAACCAGACGTTGGAGACGTTGGTGGAATATTGTCAAGTGAGTTCCACTCAAGTCTACATAAAGTTTCCAAATCCACTTCGTAAATTGCGCAATGCCACGGAATTACTGTAGTCTTGAACTGAATAGCGCATCAGAGTCTAGGAACGCCATCAGGCGGCAGACTTTGAATCGGCAATCCAGAATCAAATAGATGTCGCTCTTGACCAATTCGAAATCAGAGCCGCGCTGACTAAAATGCTGAACCACCTTAGAAATGTTTCAATATTTCGAATACAATTTCAAGTGGAGAGAAAATCAGTAATTATTGAAAAAAAATTCAAAATGAACTTCGCGAGCGGACTTTTATGCAGAATATACTAAAAAGGTTATAAGAGTAGAATTCCCATGTTAGAAACTTTTTGAGACTGGATAAAATCCTGTTCCTGTTCGAAAACAGGTAGGGAAAAAATGTACTGGACAAATGCCTTGAATTTTTAATGAAGTATGACAAGGAATAAATTACAGTACAGTATTGTTCAATCAAAAAATGAGTGCATATATTTCTTTGACCACTCGTAAGTAACAAATAATACCCCGGTTGCTGGAAAGGTCCTCACGAGCGTTGGAATGAGTCCATTGTAAAACGGTCTGATGCCTGTTGATGAGCAAACAAGGTCAAAATAATACTGATTCGATCATTGAAAAACGCATTGATTGATTCAATTTTGTTCAGAAATAACGAACCTCCTTCTTTGGTGTAAATTTCTTTTATGACCGTCACAACGCCTGCGTCTGAACCTTGAATTTGAACTCTTGATTTTACTACGTCGAAGGGGAAAATCACTGTCCAGAGAGTCATTCCTCCGATTCCACCTGATACTATTGTTCTCCCGATGCCTGAAATCATAAAGAAAAATTTCAACTCATTGCCCATTAGGAAACAAGAACCTTGACCAATCCGATGGGAAGTTTTTTTTTTTTGTTTTTGTTTTTTTGCGAAAATTCCCGGAAATTCTCTTTTATATGTTCCGAGATGTGAATTGGGGAATTTAATCTAGATGTTTCGAAAATTCAAAGAAAAAAGGTATGTAAGGAAGCAAAACTCGACCCGAAATGCCTTGAACCCAATATTTATTTATTTTTATTGAAATTTCATTGAAAGTGAGTTTTATTTCTGCACACAAGTGAACAAAAAATTTCTTCCAAAAGGTGTACTGGGAAATTTCAATTCAATGTTGCGAAAATTTGAAAATAATTACATGTTGAGAAACAGAATTCGACCCAGAATCCCAAAATGCTTGTGCCTCAAACTCTATCATTTTTTTTTGGTGAAATTGAAGTTTCCACGAATGCCTTTCTTTCGAAGTACGGCAAATTAAAAGTGTCGAATTTATTTCTGCACACAGGTGAACAAAAAATATGTTCCATGGGTTGATTTCGGAAATTTCAGCCAAATGTTTCGAAAGTTTGGAAAGACTGGAATTTAGAAAAGAAAAATTCGACCCGGGACCCCGAAACGCTCGAGCCTCGAACCCGATATCTCTCTCTTTTGAAATTAAAATTTCGTGTAAGGCCCTCCTTTCTAAGTTTGGCACATAAGATAAAGTAACAAATTTATTTTCACGCACAGGTTAACCAGGAGAACGGCATGCAAAATAGTATTCTTTGTTTTGATTGTCTGGTACTTTCACGGATTATCTACCGATTTGAACACATTTTTCAACTCTCCTGATCCAAGATTTCATGCCATCCGCAAATTCCGTATTCTGTGATTATTTCATTCTGAAAACTGCAATTTAACATTTTGGAAGCGTCGTTACCACTTGCAAACCATGTACTATATTATTTAGTAGTAACATTCGATTTTTTAAGTACTATGATTTTTTTTTTCAATTCACTTGAACGCAACCGTGTGTTAAAATGGCTCAATCCCACGAAACAAAGATGTTTAGTGAGGATGCTTCCGTACCTATTTCTTCCTTGGTTTTCCCAGGGGGTGTCAGTAATTCTCTGGTCAGTTCGTAACCCCCGAAGAAGAAAAAGTATCCCGCCATTTCTCGGATCATGGTTGAACCCAGGCCTCGAAACATTCCCTTGAAGCCTTCTGTTCTGATCACATGTGCAGTCAGTGCATAAGGTGTCCACGGAACCTGAAACAATGTTCATTTTGTTTTGAATACATTATCTATACAATGTAATCTGTATTAAATTATCCTCCTTCAGAATCAGCGTTATTTTTTTTGGAAATTAATTTTTCCAAGGATGAAGACGTCCTCAGAATTTACTGGGTCGAACTGTCGTTGAATGCTGTACATTTGATGGCTCAAGGTCTTGCAAAATATTTTTTGGATTGAACGTTCAAAGTTCGAGTTCATTTGGTTTCGGTTGGACATTATTATGAGACATTCCAAGTAATAGATCCTCGTGAGCAGTTCAATGAAATGCTGAAAAGGAACGTGGAACTTCAGGTTGAAGTTATTTCTGGGTATTATTAAATTTCAGTGGTACTGTATGTACAAGCGACACCTGTCTGTCATCCCAGAAAGCAAGATCGCACTTCAAAGGCGAAACAAATCCCTTCTTTCGGTTCGTTTTATTGAAAGTATAAATCGGATCACAGTACAATTGTTCCGATGCTGACCTTTTGTCCAGTTGTTTCGCAAACTCGTTTTGCTCCGGTTTCTCGCATGGCCTGCAATTTGCATTTGATCAACTCCGTCGGGCACAAGGTCAATGCGCAGAAAAAAGCAGCTGCTGACCCACAGCATGCATTTGCGAGACTAGGCAGTTCTTTCGGAGACTAGGAATAAGCAGTTGAACAATTTTATGTCACACATTTTGTTCAATTTTATAAGCAATGGGAGGTAATACTGTACCTCATTAAAAAATAAATAAAACAAGAAACTCTTTGCATCCAAGAAAGGACAGGCAAAATTTAAATTTCCAAATTTCTGTATCCCTGTCGGAGAGAAGTGACGTTTAATTTGTTTGAACGAAATTAAAATACCATAGCTATTGTTCGGGGACCAAAAAAAAAGCAAAGTCGTAGTAAGCATAAGTTAGTAATAATGAGATTCCACTTCAAGATGAGTGAAGTACAGAAATAATAAAAGATTTTGCGAACGGGCCAAGAAAGCAAAAACGCAGCAGAAATATGCATACATTTCACAAGGAATGAAGCTCACAAAATCACAATTGTTGTGTCAAGAAAAGGGATTTTTATTAATTTTCTGATTTGTCCTTGATTCTGGTACAGTTGAACCTCGATAAATCGGAACCCCTTGAGTAAACTGCATCCCAAAATCAAATTTTTTCCGTGTCCCGTCTGAATTCTCTTATAAACCATGAATTGAAAACCTTTCAACTCGAAGCCTTTTCCTCTTAGACCCTTGTTACTCGAATTTTCCGGGGCTTTTGGCTATATTTTTTTTACAATGAAAAAGTTAGCAATAAAACTTGATGTGTTTTGAAAGGAGAAAAAAGACTAATTGGGCAAATGAACCCTTTCCTCCGATTTCAGAATCCTGTAAACTCATGTAAGACTCAATAAGAACATGGAATATTGTACTGTACCAGGATTTACAATTTCCTGCGATTCGACTGTATTTCCCACAACATAAATCCTTGTCTTTCAAACTCGAAACCGATTTTATTTTTCTGCTAGGCCCTTGAAATTCTACTTGGAGAGGTTCAACTGTAGTAAAAATGTGGTGTGAGTTTAAAGGCGTGCGATTGGCCAATTTAGCTGTAATCGATTGTGCTGTGATGCCGAGAGGCTTGCAATTTTTTAGCAAAGGGAAAACTAGGGTTTTCCCAATATTTTGGTTCTCCAGTTTTTATTTGGTTGGTTGATTTTGTACTCCTCTGTAATTTTTCTTCTCGATAAACGAGGAGCTTGTCGCGGTTCTCCCCAACAGATGCGCCACTCGATTCAATCACCTCACCTTAACTCCGACGATTTGCGCGGCAATGCTTTGCATAGTCCCGTAGCCAGCAAACAAGACCGAGTTTTCTGCCACATTTGCCACCACGGCGGGAATGGTTCCTGCGTAGAGCCCTCTCCAAATGCCATCCTTCCTGTAGGTGTCTGAGAGGCATTTGAACATGTTCGTGTAGAGTTGAGGGAATGCCTGCATCTTGACCTTGACCGTGTCCAGGGGCTGACCCACGTACACGCCGGCAATGCCGCCTGTTGCGAAATTAAAATGCATTTTGTAAAAATTAACCTGAAAAAATAGCGAGGCCAGTGTCAAATGTGATACAGTATTATACATTATAAAAGTTTAAAATGTGAATATAATGCTCAACAAAATAATAATCTGGATTTTATGGAGGAAAATGGAGTGCATATACAGTACGAGAGGTCTAACGAAAGTTCTCAGAATAAAAATTAAAATGGCATATAATTGAGCTGAAAAATAAACATTATTCTTCAGGGAAAACATATTCTTTCGCCCGCAAAAAATGTTTTCCCGAAAAAATATTTTTTTTCTGCTTAATTATATGCCATTTTAATTTATACTGTATTCCGAAGCTATTGTTAGAACCCTCATACAGTAGCGATGTAATAGAAATTTCTGAATTTACAATCATGCAGTATTTCGAAATTCGTCTATTTTCCCTTAAAAGACGAATAATTTTCAATAGACCTAGAAATATTTCTTTTTATAGCAAAAATCAAATACTGTACTGCGTATCTCGAATTCGAAGAAATAATCACAATGCTTCCGATTTATATGTATTTAAATTATATTCTGGATTTATTCAAATCAAAGGTTTAGAATTCATGCATTTTCGTCAAGTATTGATTTTACAATCATGCGAAGGATCGCAAATGAAAGCTTGTTTTTTAAGAATGCCTTTTTAAATCAACGAATAAAAAAGTTTTTCGTTTGTTGCGTTGTCATTATTCATGAATGATGCTAGACTCTACAGCGATTATCTTCAGAAAAAGAATTTTTTTTTCTATGTATCGTATAGGGGTGCTCTGTTACGAAATTGTCTAAACGAATTTTTCCTGGTCCCCTGAATTTCGCTGTAATGAGTGGCTCCACATGTGTATGGAATCAGTTCTCTCAAGATTTTCATTTTTACGGGGTTGAGGATTGATTTTCCTTCAAGTACCGTCTCAGACTTCCTTTATTTATTTCTACGCACTGCAACAAATGTTGAATCAGGTTTTCTATGCGAGTTTGTGTGAATAAAATTACATCAGTTCACTTTGTTTTAAATTTATTTTAACTGTAAGATAAATTTGGATTTTGGACGATTTTCTGGAGTGTTCACCGAGTGATCCAGCGGTGAAATTGATCGCAGCATCTTTAACGCTTCCGTGCGCGTCCTTGTCCCGCAATTCTTCCTCGACGATCTCTGCCGACGGGGTCGTCATGATTGAATTCAAGTTCGAAACTGTGATTGACCTGCATAATTTTAAGTAAAGACTAATGTAAGTTAATCAAATATTTCGACATCTCCAATTTTCGACAAGGTTCTGGTTTCCGCGTTCGCGGAAAATTTTTCTGAGAGCGTGCGAGTTTATAGTTACAATATGTTAGTTGCGGGGAAAACTCGTCACATTTTCAATACTTTTGTAAAAGTGGCATTAATTGCTTTCATGAGCAGATTTTTCAAGTTTGTCAAGATTTCAACTGCCGTCTGGCTTTCCCGAGAAATTGCCAATTTCTTGAATGCATGACATTACTGTTTGAAGTCAGTTTACATTTTTATTCATGAGATACGGTAAAAGCTTAATTTGCTGCTTGTCAGCGTTCACTAGACATCCATTGGACACATTCCGGCCCATAAAAAATAGAGTAGAATCTCGTTACAACGAATACTCGCTTACAACGATGCCATTTTTTTCTGGTCCCTGCCGAAAAGCCTCAATGTTAAATGAGGCACTTTATGATCAATTGTTTTGTTACAAGCTTATAACAAAGCTATTTTACTGGTCCTAGAGGCATCTCAGTAACGAGATTTTACATTATGTATACTGCATAATTATTCACAGAAAAAAAAAACCATAGTTTTTGAAGAGTTTTCATTATAGAGCAATTACCGAGCACAAAGTGAAAAAGATGTTCAGCCTGTTCCCAGATTTTTTTTTTCTTGAGTGAACTATTGAAAAAAAATCTTGGCTACGTTTTATTTGATTTTTATGCACCAATTTTGGTGACTGAATTTCCTCTCCTAACGACATGTATGATGATACAGTACTGCGATTTGTTTGTTTTTATGCATCGATTTTTTCGTCAAATTGTCCCTCCCAGGTAAATGGAGATAATCCTGCGATTCTGATTATAATTTAAAATTTTTCATCGCTTTAATTTGCGTTTTCCTTATTTTTTCCTCCTTGGTGAATGAGGGAAAATCCTGCGATCCAAGTTTTAGTTTTAAAATTGTCATGGTTTTCATCTGCTTTTTTCCTTATTTTTTTCAGGGTCCGTGCCACGAAAACCAGAATTGCATCGCTATGCATGAGTCAAATGGTCTGGACATAATCATTGCCCTCATTGTCAATGACATCAATCCCTTGGGCAAAACGCGAATGGATCTTGTGTTGGACCTGAAAAACTCTGCCTCGAAACTGCTTCTCGCCATCATGGAAAGTCGCGGGGACTCGGAAAACGCTGATCGTATTTTGGCCAACATGAACCCGCGCCAATTGTTGGACGTTGCTTGTCGTGCTTACCATCAAGAAACGCTGGANACTCGTCACATTTTCAATACTTTTGTAAAAGTGGCATTAATTGCTTTCATGAGCAGATTTTTCAAGTTTGTCAAGATTTCAACTGCCGTCTGGCTTTCCCGAGAAATTGCCAATTTCTTGAATGCATAACATTACTGTTTGAAGTCTGTTTAAATTTTTATTTATGAGATACAAGCTTAATTTGCTGCTTGTCAGCGTTCACTATACATCCATTGGACACATTCCGGCCCATAAAAAATAAAAGTAGGATTTCGTTACAACGAATACTCGCTTACAACGATGCCATTTTTTTCCGGTCCCTGCCGAAAAGCCTCGATGTTAAATGAGGCACTTTATGATGAATTGTTTCGTTACAAGCTTATAACGAAGCTATTTTACTGGTCCTAGAGGCATCTCAGTAACGAGATTTTACATTATGTATACTGCATAATTATTCACAGAAAAAAAAACCATAGTTTTTGAAGAGTTTTCATTATAGAGCAATTACCGAGCACAAAGTGAAAAAGATGTACCTGTTCCCAGATTTTTTTTTTCTTGAGTGAACTATTGAAAAAAATCTTGGCTACGTTTTATTTGTTTTTTATGCACCAATTTTGGTGACTGAATTTCCTCTCCTAACGACATGTATGATGATACAGTACTGCGATTTGTTTGTTTTATGCATCGATTTTGTAGTCAAATTGTCCCTCCCAGGTAGATGGAGATAATCCTGAGATTCTGATTATAATTTTAAAATTTTCATCGCTTTAATTTCCGTTTTCCTTATTTTTTTTTCCTCCTTGGTGAATGAGGGAAAATCCTGCGATCCAGGTTTTAGTTTTAAAATTTTCCATGGTTTTCATTTGCTTTTTTCCTTATTTTTTTCAGGGTCCGTGCCACGAAAACCAGAATTGCATCGCTATGCACCTCAGTTTACCAGACCTGTATTAGTAACGGGAGTAACAGTTACTGTAGTTAGGGAACCCGTTTTGCGCTTACCTAGAACACAACCTGGACTTTTTGAGACGGAGCTTTGACGAAGAGCGGTAGTACCAAAGTCGCGGGGACTCGGAGAACGCTGATCGTATTTTGGCCAACATGAACCCGCGCCAATTGTTGGACGTTGCTTGTCGTGCTTACCATCAAGAAACGCTGGACGAAGACGTTACTGTCACTGTTGTGCCGAATTTGGCGATCAACAACTCCGGCGCAGGTTCGAATGCCCTGGGTGAGTTTCAGTGTGTGACCTGAAATATATTGGGAATATGGATTTTTCTGGTAAAAGCTGAACAGGGACAATAGTTTATTTATGCTTCTGTCTTTCTTTTTTTTTCGTCAATGGTGGACTTCATTTGGATTCATTTTTGCTGCAATAATTTGTCCTCCTTATTTATTTGAAAATACAGTGGAGACCCGAGGTAAGAGCGGAATCGGTTCTTACGGGAACAGGGATACAGCCTTTGAGACGAAAGTTCTAGTGCAAAAGGGCATCTGGAGTTACCCTTGTACAAGTTAACCAAGAGGACAAGCAGTTTTTACACCTTTTTCAGAAGGTTCCTTAATTTAGGAAATGCTTTCTCTACTTCAAAATATAGAAAATAACTGTACAGAAGAAAACCACACACAATACTGCCTTTTTCGCATAAAAAGAATCCCGAAAAGCAAAGAAACAGCGCATCTTTTTTCTATTCTGTGCACAGATGATGGAAAGAAATGCAGTACTAAAAAGAGAAGCACAAGATTTGATTATGAATTAGAGTGAATGTGTAGAAGATTTATTTTAATTTTTGTTAATACAGTACTGTATAAATGGTTGAGCTTGTTCAAGTTATATTGTATCAACATCTGAAAAAAAAATTTACCATTTACATTTCTTCTAAAAATCTTGACAGTGTTGGTTGGTATCTTGAGACATTTTCCGAATGAATGGAGTGTAAAAAATTTTTTTTCTTTAATTTTTGTGAATATAAGTACAGTACCTGACTTTGTTCAAAAAACGTATCAACATTTTGAAAAAAGAAGAAATTTTCCATTTCTTCTAGAAATTTGGAAAATGTTGGTCTATCGAGACATTTTCCGAGTGTCGGAGCAGATTTTTCAATTCATTTTTTCAAGTGTCCGTAACTTGGGGCCCCACTGTATTGAATTTAATTGTGTGATAAGAACTTTCCGCAGCCGTCGCCTCCACGGCGACCACCCTTAAGGGACTGTCGTCTGCGCCTGTAGCAGCTGCTACTGCTGCGGAAACTCTGCCTTCCGCCCCAACAAAGGGGTGCTCTTCAGCCCCACAACATCTACATTTTATGTCATCAGTTGGCCAAGCATAGTAAAGAACTGGCGGCGATTCTCCGTTCAAATACCCAGGCCCAAGGTAACGCAGTCTCAACGACGGCGGGATTCGGGACTCCGATTGGAGCTCAAAGCGAAGCCGACGATTATTTGAAAAATTCCAAAGTTGCCCAAGCGTTGAAGTACTACGCGAATCACACGGCACAAATCGAGGTGAGGTTCCTTTTCCCTAATTTTTCTGCTTTTAAATCTTGATTTTTGTTGCTAATTTTCCCTCCTGACTAAATGGTTGATGATCCTATGATTTTATTTCATTTGTTTTTGTGCATATATTTACACGAGGGTTGTCCCAGTTGAACGCGACCTGTAATATTTCTGGAGTAGGTTTGATGGTTTAAAAAAAAAAAAATTACGACATAGCCCATCATGTTCCAAGGGTCTGGGATTTTTGAGATGAGCTATTTCCTCATTTTTTTACTGTTGAGATAGTTCCGTCTTTGCTAACTTACTCTCTTCATAGTTGTTCGGATACTCTTCGCTTTTGTGCGCATATTTGATACCTACTGTTTCTTTCTTGAATTTTGTATTTTTTTCCTTGGTGTGCTCCTTTTTTTTTACTGATGAAGTCCTCATTTTCTAGATCGTGCGACAGGACAGAACGCTGGAACAAATCGTGTTTCAAATACCGGAAATCTGTGAATATTTGACGCGGGAAACACGAACTAAAGTGTTTCACACTACAGAAAGGGATGAGCAAGGTTCGAAGGTCTCCGATTTTTTCATGGTGAGAGCGAGTGAATATTTTGCATTCCGTCAATGACCTTGACTTGTTTAAATGTTGCTTGAAATTGTTTTTATTTCGCAGAGATGTGATCCTATGTATGACGAGATGGTATGGCAAAAGAAGCTACGTTCGAAGCGAGTCTTGTTTTGGTTCTCCAACTACATGTCGAACACCTCAGTGTGTGAAAAATACGAACGGCACTAGTAGTTGCAATAGCACCGCGACAAGATAGGTAAAGGACTTTGCAATGGTTCACTCACTAAAAGAGAAGTTAAAATCCACTTATTCAAACTCAGTACTGTACAATGAGAAGACCTGACGTCGCCCAAGGATGAATTTAATTTTCAAATGGAAACAACGAGCAATTGTTTCAGGCAAGGGTAATCACTTTCCCTGTTTTGTCTGCACAGATCTCGTGAGCCCTGTTTTACCCTCTTCTAATGTACTTGGTCAAGTCTGTCACTTTTGATAACAGTAAAGCAGGCTGAAAAATTGTCCGCGGCTCTGTTCATTTGTGTTGACGTCGTCTAGGTGTCGCTCGAGTTCTATTTTTCTTCAAAAATCTTCCGTAAGGTCTGACCTGAAGAGCGTCAATTTGTTTTGTTTGGTCCGGTCAGTGCTTCATGTGACACCTGTCTGATATTCCTGGACGCCAGCTAGACATTCGATTGTAAAGAAAAGCACATTTTCCGTAAGAATGATTTTTAAATTTTGTGTTTGAATTTTATTTCGAGAAGGAGTGATTTAATCTGTTTTTCATGATCATACCTAGAGCCTCATACCTATGTTTGCCCTTTTTTGCCCACTTCACAACTCTTGAATGTTTCTGAAATTTGACACGCTATTGTACTGTACCTTGTTCTTGATAAAATACCACATGCGACAAGACTGAATTTGACCAGGAACATATTTTACTGTAAGCTAGGGTTCGCTTTAATTTTTGTAATTTCAACTGAGCTTAGGATAGGTTGAATTGAGTAGAATTTCATTATTTGACTAGAGTTCGGTTGGGTTTTTGTTTGATCGGATTAGTAACTCCGACGACGCGTGTTCGACCTCTTAGAATGCGAGGTAGAGTGTAGATGAAAAAAACTATTCCTTAATTTTTTTTTCAAGAACTGTATTTGAGGATTGGTGTGGTTTTTGTAGAGATAAGTTCCCACCTGTCGGCCGTGATCTGGGCCGTGATCTTCACGTCTGCTGCTATTGTACTCATCCTACCGAAGTCATGGGGCATTAGAACTCTGGTCATTTCCATGATTTTACGCTCGATCTACTCCGTGGGGACGAAACCAACACTATTGCTGTTGGGAGTCGCGAACGTAAGTTTTTTTTTTTTATACTAAGTTTTCTCTTCACGTTCCACTGATGCATTTTATTGATGCGTTTTCAAACAAAAAACGAAAGTTTGCCACGAAAAGTTTATAATTCTCTCTTAGACGCTTTTGTCTACAACGGTTTTCTCTGCGTAAACGAATTTTGTTTGGTCCCCTGAATTCCGTTTTAGAGAGAGTCGACCTGTTTTTTTTTAGTTTTAATTTATTTAATAATTTTTGCTTCTAGATGATGNTTGTGGAGTCACACACTTTTTATGCTTGCCGTGATCATCAACGTTATCGTGGCGCTGTTCTATCCATTTCCTGAAACGTTACCAAGTGAGTGATTTTCTCTTCAATTTTAGGTGAATAAGTTTGAGTTTACTTGTCAATGAGAAGACCTCTCGTCGCCCAAGGATGAATTTAATTTTCAAATGGAAACACCGAGCAATTGTTTCAGGCAAGGGTAGTCACTTTCCCTGTTTTGTCTGCAAAGATCTCGTGAGCCCTGTTTGTCCCACTTCTAATGTACTTGGTCAAGTCTGTCACTTTTGATAACAGTAAAGCCGGCTGAAAAATTGTCCACGGCTCTGTTCAGTTTTATTGACGTCGTGTAGGTGTCGCTCGAGTTCTCTTTTTTTTTAATCTTCCGTAAGATCTGACTTGAACAGCGTCAATTTGTTTTGTTTGGTCCGGTCAGTGCTTCATGTGACACCTGCCTGATATTCCTGGACGCTAGCTAGACATTCAATTGTAAGGAAAAGCACATCTTCCGCGAGAATTATTTTGAAATTTTGTGGTAGAATTTTATTTCGAGGAGTGATTTGTTTTGTTTTTCATGATCATACCTTCTCGGAGTATGGATACAAACGGGAAAAAACGGGTGAAGTGTTGAGAACTTACAAAGACTTTAAACTGTGCGATAACATGACATGGAACAAGAACTATTTTATGGTGTACGCTGTTCTGACTTAAACTCCAGGAACATATTTTACTGTAAGCTAGGGGTCGCTTTAATTTTTGTAATTTCAACTGAGCGTAGGACAGGTTGAATTGAGTGGAATTTTATTATTTGACTGGAGTGTGGTTAGGTTTTTGTTTGATCAGATTAGTAACTCCGACGACGCGTGTTTGACTTCTTAGAATGCGAGTTAGAGTGTTGATGAAAAAAACTATTCCTTAATTATTTTTTCAAGAACTGTATTTGTGGATTGGTGTGGTTTTTGTAGAGATAAGTTCCCACCTGTCGGCCGTGATCTGGGCCGTGATCTTCACGTCTGCTGCTATTGTACTCATCCTACCGAAGTCATGGGGCATTAGAACTCTGGTCATTTCCATGATTTTACGCTCGATCTACTCCGTGGGGACGAAACCAACACTATTGCTGTTGGGAGTCGCGAACGTAAGTTTTTTTTTTTTATACTAAGTTTTCTCTTCACGTTCCACTGATGCATTTTATTGATGCGTTTTCAAACAAAAAACGAAAGTTTGCCACGAAAAGTTTATAATTCTCTCTTAGACGCTTTTGTCTACAACGGTTTTCTCTGCGTAAACGAATTTTGTTTGGTCCCCTGAATTCCGTTTTAGAGAGAGTCGACCTGTTTTTTTTTAGTTTTAATTTATTTAATAATTTTTGCTTCTAGATGATGATCAAAGGAATACATCTGGTGAGCATTATGGGCAACAGAGGAACGTTGGCGAGAAAAAGCTTCGAGTTCAGAGTGAATTCTGGGCAAGGGTTTTCAACGGATGACAAAGATTTCTTGTATCATCTTGGGTATTTTGTGATCTGCGTGCTGGGAACCTTTGTTCATCCCTTTTTCTACTCGATACTGGTGAGTATTTTTTTTTTAATTTTTGTTTTTTTATGCGCATCTCGGTGCAGCATTCGGGAAAAAGGGGCTAGCGTCATATTTCCTCATTTAGAAATGCTCGTTGTGATGAAGCTTTTCATGGGACCATTCGATTATGCCTGTCAGCCTAGGTAGTTACTCTATTTCAATAGTGTTCCAAAAGTTTCTCTGTAGCGAACGACTCAGAATTATTGGTGTTCTTTAAATATCTCATGAATCAAAGTTGCTGATGAATATGTTGCAGTAATTCTGAAGCTGAAAAGCTATACCAAAAATTAGTCATGATTTTTTATCACATAATTGTGGTACCCAATGGATGCTTTCGTGGCAGTGTTCATCCAGTCGCAAATGAAACGTCGTATAACTCAGTTTGCAATAAAAAATACCAAATCTCTTGGAAACAAGCATTCACATGAACAAAGGGAGGAACTGCATCTTACTGATCTAGAATATTTCTCTGCACAACAAGGNCCACCTGTCGGCCGTGATCTGGGCCGTGATCTTCACGTCTGCTGCTATTGTACTCATCCTACCGAAGTCATGGGGCATTAGAACTCTGGTCATTTCCATGATTTTACGCTCGATCTACTCCGTGGGGACGAAACCAACACTATTGCTGTTGGGAGTCGCGAACGTAAGTTTTTTTTTTTTATACTAAGTTTTCTCTTCACGTTCCACTGATGCATTTTATTGATGCGTTTTCAAACAAAAAACGAAAGTTTGCCACGAAAAGTTTATAATTCTCTCTTAGACGCTTTTGTCTACAACGGTTTTCTCTGCGTAAACGAATTTTGTTTGGTCCCCTGAATTCCGTTTTAGAGAGAGTCGACCTGTTTTTTTTTAGTTTTAATTTATTTAATAATTTTTGCTTCTAGATGATGATCAAAGGAATACATCTGGTGAGCATTATGGGCAACAGAGGAACGTTGGCGAGAAAAAGCTTCGAGTTCAGAGTGAATTCTGGGCAAGGGTTTTCAACGGATGACAAAGATTTCTTGTATCATCTTGGGTATTTTGTGATCTGCGTGCTGGGAACCTTTGTTCATCCCTTTTTCTACTCGATACTGGTGAGTATTTTTTTTTTAATTTTTGTTTTTTTATGCGCATCTCGGTGCAGCATTCGGGAAAAAGGGGCTAGCGTCATATTTCCTCATTTAGAAATGCTCGTTGTGATGAAGCTTTTCATGGGACCATTCGATTATGCCTGTCAGCCTAGGTAGTTACTCTATTTCAATAGTGTTCCAAAAGTTTCTCTGTAGCGAACGACTCAGAATTATTGGTGTTCTTTAAATATCTCATGAATCAAAGTTGCTGATGAATATGTTGCAGTAATTCTGAAGCTGAAAAGCTATACCAAAAATTAGTCATGATTTTTTATCACATAATTGTGGTACCCAATGGATGCTTTCGTGGCAGTGTTCATCCAGTCGCAAATGAAACGTCGTATAACTCAGTTTGCAATAAAAAATACCAAATCTCTTGGAAACAAGCATTCACATGAACAAAGGGAGGAACTGCATCTTACTGATCTAGAATATTTCTCTGCACAACAAGGCTTTAGTGCACAAAAAGTTTATATTGTTGGATAAAAATTTTGTTGAGCATTGTAATTATTTCAATTGGTGCTCAGTTCATACCAGTGGATTGTTGGTTCTCGTATTTTCATCAACATTGGTGATCATTCGTTCAACTAGAGAATCATTTTTCTACGTGAATTCGTCTGAGAATTCAAGTATTTTCCTTTTGATTTTTCTCTTTTAGTAGCTTTTGAATTTCGGTTATCGGGAAGAGTCCCTGAAAAAATTCAGTTGATAATCGACTAAATCCTTTGGGCTAAAATTCTATTTCTTCTTTAAAGAATGTTACTGAATATATTTTCGTATGGTTTTTATTCATAGCTCTTGGATGTTGTTCATCGAGAAGAAACTCTTTTAAACGTCATCAAGTCCGTCACAAGAAACGGCAGGTCGATCGTTCTCACCGCAGTCCTGGCACTGATCCTCGTTTACCTCTTCTCCATTATCGGATACCTGTGGTTCAAGGACGACTTCTTAGTCACTGTGGAACCCGAGGACACGGAATCTGCTGCATTGGCTATCGATCCTGGGGGATTCTGCTCTGCGGGTTCTCCCTGCTCAAACGATACCGTTAACGTTTGGGTGAAACCCAAAGAAAATGTTAAGTCACTGTGGAACCCGAGGACACGGAATCTGCTGCATTGGCTATCGATCCTGGGGGATTCTGCTCTGCGGGTTCTCCCTGCTCAAACGATACCGTTAACGTTTGGGTGAAACCCAAAGAAAATGTTACGATTGAGAGCACGACGCGAGCAGTGGCCACTTCGGAAGATGTGAAGGAGCGAGCGTGTGATTCTTTGATCATGTGCATTGTGACCACTTTGAATCAAGGGCTTAGGAATGGAGGAGGCATAGGGGATGTTTTAAGATCACCCAGCGCGAAAGTGAGTTTGGAGGAAACCTTGCGTTCTTTTTTTTTTCTATATAAATCGGAAATGGCATTGGAACTGTTGAGTTCAGATCATCTCATTTTGTGGAGCAGTGGTTCTCGTATTTTCTTCCCGAACATTGATGGTCATTATTCTCTTTTTTTTCTGTCCAGTTTTGATCTGTCCGAGTATTTGAGTACAGTCCTGTACTGTATTTTAATCGTGGTTTTCTGTTCTCGCAGCTTTTGAATTCCTTTTATCGGAAAGAATTGCCTTAAAACGTCCTGTGTTGAATCCTTAAGAATTGAAGTTTTTTTATTGTTGAAAAAAATAGAAAAAGAGTTAAACGCTCAATAGCTGGTTTATCATTCCAGAAGAAACTCCTTACTTTTGTTTTTAGTGCAGTATTTCTCCTGCAGCGGGTAAATGTAATATTTCAGTCAATGTTGATGAATTGTGACTTGAAATATTTATTTTAGCGATTTCCTCGTGTAATTCGAAGAAATTTTTGAGACCCTGCGTATGATTGAAGCTGTATTGATATTCAGCTATGAGGGAATATTACCCGAAGCCTCTTTAGCCTACATTCTCAATTGTCTGTGATAATCCGTGCTTATTTTTTTTAAGGAACGTTTGTTCTTCGCCCGAGTATTCTACGACCTCCTGTTCTTCTTCGTCGTCATCATTATCGTGCTGAACCTGATTTTCGGTGTCATCATTGACACCTTTGCGGATCTGAGGTCTGAGAAGCAGCAAAAAGAAGAGATTTTGAAGAATACTTGCTTCGTGTGTGGACTGGAACGTTCGGCCTTTGACAACCGCGTTACGAGTTTCGAAGATCACATTAGGAAAGAGCACAACATGTGGCATTACCTGTACTTTATTGTCTTGGTTCGAGTGAAGGATTCCACCGAGTTCACGGGACCAGAGAGTTACGTTCATGCCATGGTCAAAGTAAGTCAAATTCTCGTGAAGTTGTCCTTGGAAGTGTGTGTATCTTTCGTAAATTTTAGAGGGACCTTAATTTTAGTTCATTTTGTCTCCGGATCTTGTCTAGTTAATTATTTTAATAATTTCTCAAAAGTTACTAGTTGCGAACAAATCAGAATTATTGATGTTGTTCGAATATCTGATGAAAAATCTGCAGTTGTAAATCGAAAATGCTGATGAATATGATGCAAATGTTCCCAAGCGATATTGCAACATTGCAAACAATTTTGCAATTGTTACGCAATATTTGAATTGCTAAAACGGCGATTGCTTTCACGTTCCTGGTTCAATCCAAAGAAAGTTCGAAAAACCCTGATCTAGGATACTTATAAAGTTCCTGCGCACTTAAAATGAAAGGATTTCGTGTGTATTGTCCAGAACCAAATGAAATTTTGATGAAAGA